GGGGGGGGGAAGTGAATGAGGGAAGAGGGGCGCGTCCAGAAAGTAGCTTTCGCTGGGCAGCGCTTGCGGTTTCGTCCGGACCTACTAGACTCCCCATATTCAGGAGCTGATCGCGCGAGGACACAAGAGCAGACGACGCGGCTCACGACAGGTGACCTCGGGCCGGCCAGCCGGCCGTGGCGTGCGCGGAGCATGTGGTGCATGCATACGGCGGGGCACCATCAACAAGGCTGGAGTGTTCTAATTGGGGGCACTGTGAAGATAAACAAATATACAATTGAAAAACAGCCTAAAACGAAGCAATCTTGCTTAAAACTGTGAGGTGACTAGAACTGGAAGTACGGTTGGCCATTGTTGCACAGTCTGCTGAACAATTTTAAAATGTTGATGGGCAGTGGGCTTGTTTCTAGAGGGGGGATGCATCAGGCATCCACTCGCAAGGCACCGCGACTTGCGTCCCCCGAACGCGCCACGCGCCGCCACGCCGAGCCGAAAAGAAAGGGGCCCCCTGGGGGAGGGGGGCGCACGGCAACACGTGGACCTCAACCCCCCCCCCCTCTCCCTCCACCCAGAGAGCTCCGCGCGCGGCGCCCAACCCCAGCCCGCCCTCTCCCACCCCACCACGCCTGCTGGGACAGTCCGTGAGGCCCCATCAATGCGATTGAGTTAGGAGACAACTATCAGACGCGAATCCAAAGTACATGGCGTCCGCGGGGGATGCTGAAGGGAAAACAACAAAAAAAAACATGGCACGAATAACGCGATACGGGTCGTCGGGCTTCAAACTGCGACGGAGTGCAATAAATTTGAATTAGCGAAAGTAAAATATATAATCACAAAACAAAACACGACAAAAAGAATACATTCGCGCGTCAGTGTCGTCAGGCGAATGGTCTGCCAGCCAAATGACTGGAAATAATGCACTTCCCGTGTTTGGATCGCAGGACGGTCTGACTGTACCTGCAAGCCCCGCCCCGCAACGCTCCGCCACGCCAAGGAAAAGCTCTTACAGATCCGTCAGCTCGGGCTGCACTGCCTTACTCAGCCAAGAATCGCCAACGGGACAGGCGGATAGGACAGAGCTGTCTGTCATAGTTCGTGCGCGTGGGATGGAGGGGGGGCAGGTAGGGGGGGGGGAGCGGGAGAGAGAGAGAGAAAGAGAGACAGAGATAGACAGAGAGAAGAGAGAGAAAGGGGGAGGAGACACTTAGGAGAGCGCATTCCTCCGTAATTCTCTGGTGCTTGCGAGGAAATTGCCGAGTGCTGTCCGATCGCCGAGGCCGTGGCGTGGCCTGGACAGGGCGGCACGATGTATTGCACACCGCGCGATGTAGTGCGATGTGAAGGAGAAGAAGAAGAGAAGAAATGGAATGAAAACAAGAAGTGGGAGGCGGAAGGGTGTGCGACGACAGAGAAGGAAAGGAGGGGCGCGAGTGCGAGGGGTTGGGTGAAGTTGGACGACAACGTCACATTGTTTAGGTCCCAAAGCGCTGCCCCTGAAACGATGGATTGAGAAACCTAATGTATCGATGGAATGGAGTGTGGGAGTAAGAGGAAGGGGGGAGAGTAAAGGGGGAAAGAGAGTCCGGCCGACCGCCCCTCGGGAGGGGAGAGAAAGAGGGATCGGTCGACTGAAAAGGAGGAGGGAGAAGGAGAGGGAGAGAAAGAGAGAGAGAGGAAGGGAGGTTCCGGAAGAGGGGAGTGCGGTGAAGGGGGCAGACGAAAGTGTCAAGAGATGTAAATGACGGCTGAGTGCAAAGTTACGCTGCGGGGTGACGTGGTGGGCGAAGGGAAGGGGGAAGTGAAAGGCATGATGGGTTGCACTCTCAAATTCACCAAACATCAACCGTGGTCCTCGAACACATTACTGTATCATGAAATTTACTCACAAGGGAAGGGCACTGGTTTTAGCTGCCCGTCGGGCGTTTGGAGGTCACTTCACGCGAATTTCATCCAAAATTTCCCAAATTCATCCCCTTTTGGTCATCTTTGCATGCACATATCTCCGGAACCGTTTTAGCTACAGCGCCCAGATTTAGCAGGTAATTTACCTTTCAGTTAGTTCTTTCTCTGACAAGTATTTGAACCAAATCAATGGGGTCACTAAAAGGGGTCTAGGATCGCAAACTCCTCTCGGGACTCGTTTTAGCGACCCTTATCGATTTCGTTCAAATTTTCTACAAATAAGGAACGTGCTAAATTATGATTTCCCTCAAAATCTGGGCGCTGTAGCTCAAACGGTTTTTAAGATATGTGCATGTAAAGTTGATAATCAGGCAACAAATTTGGCGAATTTTCAATTAAATTCGCGTAAAACGACCTTCAAACTCCCTATGGACAGCTAAAACCAATGCAAAACCTTATCTAGGGATGAAAACAACAACACTTTGAAGCGTTATTGAAATCGGACTGTATCACCGGAAAACCTTCCCTTGTCAGTGAAGCAACGTGCGAAATAAAAACGCGATGGCAATCTTCCATAACAAGATGTAAACTAAATCTAAGATGCTGCTGTGACACTTTTTTGAGCAAACGCCTAGTACCGTAAATATTCTACTTCGAGCACAGCAAAGAAAAAACAGCGAAAATCCGCAGTGTGTATTCAAAACCGAACAGATAATAAAACCCTCAAACATTCAGTCTGACTTGGCCTTACTTGCCTGTCCAGCGGCAGTGGTAGTTACGGCAACAACAGCGGCTGCACGCGGCCACTGCCGAAACCTCGGTCAAATTGCGCCAAATTACGCTTTTTACGTGTCGTGTAGTTTTGTGCTCAAGCCCAGCGAGGCGTGGAGTGGCGTGGCGTGCATGCGCCCATTGTAAGCCTCTCGGCACGAAGGGCAGGGCAAGCGGGATGAGGGCCCGTCCCAGAGCAACGAGATAAAAAGTAGTCGTCAGAATGAACGAATTGATTAGCGTGAGGATGGCCAAACGCAATTCGGAGTAGTGGTAAGGCAAAATGTCAGAGCCAATAATTCGTTTGCTAGAACAAAGCTATCGCCGTTAGAGAAGAAAAATTTACCATTCGGTGTTTCGTCTACCGAACAAACAGGTTGGACCTTGCAGCGACTTCGCACCACAGCAACTGAATCTTTGCTCTGCTGACAGCTAACTTTTGATCACCACAGATACTTGAAATTAGCTACTAAGTCAGTCTCGACAACTAATCTTTCCGAATCTGACTTTCATGCATCAAGTATTGATTCAAGTACATGCACAAAGAGTATACTTATTCCAAGTACGAATCGGTCGCTATTATTGCTTGCAGCTTTCCCAGCTTTCACCGTGAGCGCTTACGGGCGGCCCCCCGGGACGTTTCCCTCATTACTGCCTCTGCCGGCGGCAGGGCGGCTCGGACCGGCCCCTCCCGCCCCGTGAGCCGTCCCCTTATTACGGCTCCGGGCACAATGATAGGTTCTGACTGCGCGAATAAATACCCAACGACGACTATCACTGTCCGTCCCGACCCGTCCGTCCATCCGTCCGTCAAACACAACCCCGGCGACGTACTCCGTGACCGTTCTAAACAGACCACCCCTTTCTCCACTCCTGATACAACCTTCTACCGCAACACACCGCACACATTATCATTTCAACACAAACTGTGCAATGCACGGGTCGGCACAGATTCCTTTCTTACACTGACGCAAAAGGAATAAAAGCGCACCCTGCTCTAGAAACTCAAAGGTCCGACACTGTTAGAGTCCTGCAAAGCAGACAATTTTGCAAATTTCGAAGAATCTTCGACAGTAAAGCGAACGGCTGTTTACTTGTAACAACCGTCACGAACAATCATTCGCCTATATATTATGGTGCATATAGTA